TGAACTATATGTCATCCTCAATGCATAAACTGCCCCTGAAAACTGAACATGATATCTTCTGACTAGTTGATGTTATTCATTTACTGTGTTTGAGATAAATGATACCAAGTAAATTGTTGTGGAAATTCTGAGTTTTGTGTCCAGTGCATTCTGAGATTTGTACATTATCGCAGGTCTGTAAAATCTTGTGTTTTCCTATAGCAAGCTAAAAGGTATAAAGATGCTCACAATGCCACTACAGCATAGACAAGCACATTTTTGTCAATACAATACAGCAACATTTAGACATGACATTTAAGATAACAGCAATTTTTTCGAAAAATAAAATAGAGTAGATTTAACACTTGTGAGTGAGAGCAGAGATAATAGAAGATGGTTTAGCTAAGTTACCGGACTACGCAATCAGTGGCGTACACACAATCCATTGGGCCCCGGTGCGAAACTGACCCGTGGGCCTCCCCCCCGACACACACACACACACACACACACATACATAAATACATACATAGAGACACACATAGACATACACACACAACAGACATACAAACAGACAGGCACACACACATACATACAGAACAACACACATACAGACACACACAGACAGACACACATACATCCAAATACATACAGACACACATACACAAGACACAAATACATACAAAGACACATACATACAAACAGACAGGCACACATACACACATACATGTTTGAACCTAGGAAGGAAGCAAAAAGACAGGAATGATCTTTTAGGGCAGATGTCGCTCTGCTGACACACAGACAGACAGATACATACAGACATACACACACACAAAGACAAATACACATACAAACACACACACAATGTTTAAGTCACCCTTCTGTTTCCTACCTTTTAGGTGCAGGAGGGTGACTTTCCCTGGGGTCTAGTGGTGGCTCAGGCTGGTTGGGAGTCAGAGTTCCCACTCTGACTCCCTTCTCTGCTTCCTCCCGCACAGGCTCTGTGTTATTGCTGGCAGGAGTGTCAGGGGCAGTCACTTCCTCCCAGCAGTGATGTCATCATAGGTGGCCCGGTTGCGCTGTTAAAGCGCCCGCGCTGACCCCTGACAATCCATACCCATCGGGTGGCCCTAACAGCATGGACCTCTTGGACGGCAAAAGATGGCGGCGGGCACCCGGTCGCTGGGTTCCCCAGGGGGGGGCGGGCCCCCAGGAGTGACAGGCCCCTATGTACGCCACTGTACGCAATATACTTGAGAGTGGGACCACCAAGCAATCTAAATACTGGGCTAAGATATTGAACCTCGACATTGATATCAAGTAAAAGAGCACAGGAAATGCGAACGGAAGGCAAGCTGCAGTTAGTAGCTAGTTAAAAACAGAAACAACGATAATAAATCCAAGGAAATAGCCTAGTTTCGCTCTCAGACCAGATGAAGATGTATTCTCAGCCTATGCAAATGGTGGCCAGGCTGAGTCCAAACAGATACAGTAGGGAATTCTAGACTCATATGGCGCTGCAATGTGCAACATCACAACAGCCCCAGTGTTTATTAGGACCCATTTCTCAACGTCCACAGGCATCTCTAACCTTCACTGGGAGAGGGTTTCGAAGTCATGGGTGGCGATGTTGTATCCCAGAGTGTGGGCTACGGGCGGTTACATAAATCTTCTGGATTCCCCACCAAGGAGGGAAACTACCAACTGGAGATGGCATCATAGATGGCTGTTGCCAATCCTCCCAGCGTCTCCAAAACCGCTGGCACAAGGTGTAACACTTTCGCAGGAATTCCGCTTCCCAGCTTCTGAGATGCAGTTGAGTATGTGTAGTGTTGCTGCTGGCCATTTTGGATAGGCGGAGTGTAGACTGCCTTCACTAGATTTGCGCAGGAACATTGTAAAGGTAAGTGTTTGCTTGGTGGGGGCCAGGATACCCGAGAGCTGAAGAGTGTGGGGCTAAGACTATCCGTAAAAGTAGTAAAAGCTCAAGGCATCCCTGACATAGAGGTTGTTTGCCTCTCCTGCCAGGGAAACAGCAGGTCGCAACAAGGTGGAGGCCGCAGTTGCCGATTTACATGGATGGTAAACCTGGAACTTGCTTCAAAGTTGCCCCAGCAGTGCCAGATTAGGTTATCGATGTGGGAGTGATCGATCACTTTTTTTAATTTATTTTTTCATGTGCTCAGATTAACAACAAGCACGCAGAGCCACGACAGCTTCTGCACGCATTTTCATAACATTTTGCAGTGTAAACAGCACTTTATATATATATATATATATATATATATATATAACATGCGGAATACAGGCAGTTAAACATAAAGGTAGTATAGTTTAGCATGTTAGACTGAATGTTCATTTGACATGGCTAGTAGCGCTGTGGTTTGTAATGTCTAAAGCATTGCATTTATAAGAAGGCATTGCAAGTGCGAGAAAAGTACATTCTAAACCGATTAACATTTCTTAGGTTAGGTCTTTGAATGTCTGATTAAGGTACACGCTTTAAAATATAGAGTACACAGGCTGGTTGCCAGTAAGGCTAGTTAGACAAGCCAATCTAAAGCAGCGATTATGACATTACTTGCTGAACATAGGCATGCTAGGTCAAGTAAATAACACTTAATTAATTTTTTAACTTACTTGCATTCACCTGTTTCTATATATAGGGATAAAGATAATTCTATATCTCTGTGATACAAGTTATATATTGCCTATTTGCACCATTTAGTGTGCTACCTTATGATTTTGAGATATATCCATCATAATATTTTGTGTGTATTCTAAATCTCGTGCAGATCACATTTTTGCTGTTGTGAATCTGTAACTATCAAGTTGCTTTATATTTAAGCAGAGTATCTTGGTGTGTAACAGACACAATCTGCCTTTAGCAGATTTAAAGGTATACACACCATACATATATATTCTTTTCCGTCAATACTGGTTATCCTAGAAACGGATACAACTATTATATTGTCAACCAAGCCATATTATAGTGAACTAGCTCCTGAACTCACTACCTTGAAGGTATCACTGTCTTTTATTCCTTTTGGACAGGTTTGGGTGTATCCCTGTCCTGGTTCAGTATTGAGCTATCCACTCTGAGTCGGACTCCCTCATCCCTGTGTGTTGCACTAGGCAGACCGGATTTTACTATAACTCTCACCTTCAATTTCACCTATTGAGGTTTTAGAGGAAGACCATGGCTTTGAATAGAAACATTGACACAATTAGATCAGACAGGAAGTCATTTATGGGCACCTGGTCTGTTGGTGAAAATATTTTGAATGAACCTATTCCACCTAACATGGATCAACAGAAGGACATAAGATCCCTCATCCATAAGTTAGGCAAACTGATGGAAAAGGAGGTGCAAATTTGGTGGGATATAGCAACCCTAGACTTTTATGTCAATAACAACATAGTACCACGAGGACTGAGACTTTATAAAAGATCAACTTACAAACGACATGATCCAATACTTTTAAAAAAATGGGATCAACTTCTAGATAAAGGATCCTTACTATTAATGGTATTCCTCATCAATGAGAAGAAGAAAGACCTTACCCAATTAGATCAAGAAATTACAGACTCAAAAAGTGCCATTCGCCCTCTAGTGGAGAATGGAGAATATGTGGAACTTCTAGACACAATAGAAAGAAGAGTGAAGGACATTGAGATGAACATAAGGGAGAATAAAAGAAAGAAAATTTTGAGAGATCAAGTGGACTATAAAACTCAAACCCAAAGAAATTGGAAGAAAGACCAAACATCAAGGTACCAATCTCCCCAAAGGCACATAACTGAATATGGATACCAACGACGAGCAATACATAGAGATACTAATATCTCCCAAAGGACATCCCATCAAGGTCCTACCAGAAATTGGATACAAAATCGACCCATTCGAAATGAAAGGCAGGACCACAAGGAATATCAACAACCTCAATACACAAAGAGGAGGTATACAGATCAAATAAGACAATATCACCCACGCAACATGAAGCATCAAAGCAGGGACTGGCAGACGCAAGATCACAGAAAACAATACACTCCGATTGTTGACACTCCAGTATTGGCTCAAAGAAGAATGGACTTTAACCATGCACACTTGGAAGAAACAAAGACCCATTCACCTACAAAAATAGAGAATGATTTTTTAGACAGGCGGGGAAGGATTCCCCCCAAGAGATTTGTGATGGAGGACTTCAGGTCCCCAGATGTGAGAAAGAAAAGGTCAATAAGAGAATTAGAAGGAGACATTGAACAACAGTCATCCAACAGAAAAGGAGGAAATGAACATCTTCAATTTGTCCACAAGAATCTTAAACTCAGAAGAAATTTCACTTCTGAAAAAGGGGCTTAAGTTTGCACCAACTTCCAAAAGCTCTAACTTTAATGCCTGTATAGATCTACATAAGTTTATTAGAAAAGTTTCAATTAAGAAATTCTTCAAAGATAAGGATAACACACAATCCACTCCAAATCAAGATTACTTGCAAACTCAGTTACATCCTACCTCTACCTTTTACCCACAGCATGTGAAGACGGATTCCATGAGGGTATTTGAGAAGATGGTAGAAAAAGACTTCAGAAGGAAGATTAAACATAAGATTAGGAAAGACAACTTGACCAAAAAAGAGAGGAGGTCCTTAAAACAGTTGATGAAATCAGAAGACATCACCATCAAAGCGGCGGACAAAGGGGGTGGCCTAGTAATCCTCAATACAGCAGACTATACAGAAGAGAACAACAGGTTACTGGCAGACACTTGCACTTATTTGAAACTTGAACAAGATCCTACTACTCAGTTTAGGACTAGATTGGAGGAGATTCTTGACCAAGGGAAATTCAGAGGTATCATTAACGAAAGAGAGTACAAATATCTACTCAATAAGTTTCCAAGAATCCCCATCTTTTACCATCTACCTAAGATTCATAAAACAATCACAAAACCTCCAGGTAGACCTATTATTTCTGGAATTGGTTCCCTTACGGCAAATTTGTCTGAATATGTGGATCAGTACCTACAGAACATAGTACCATGTCTCAAATCATATTTGAGAGATTCCACACAAATTTTAAACCTTTTATCAGATTTTAATTGGTCCGATGATATGATTTTAGTCACGGCAGACGTCACCTCACTATATACAGTGATAGAGCACCTCCAAGGGTGTGAGGCAATACAATTTTCACTGGCCGTTTATTCGGAATTAAAGAATGATCAGATTGATTTCCTAATACAATGTATTGCTTTTATCCTCACCCACAACTATTTTTGGTGCAATAACCAGTTCTACTTACAGATTGAAGGAACCGCCATGGGGACTCGTTTTGCGCCAAGCTATGCGAATCTATTCATGGGCAAATGGGAACAAGAATTCATATGGGATAATTGTCCATTTGGCGCAAACTTGTCCCTCTGGCGGAGATACATAGATGACTGTTTTTTTATTTGGAAAGGTGATATGGACTCTCTTGAATTGTTTAAGACCTACCTCAATAACAACCCGTATAATTTAAAATTTACTTTTAACCAGTCGTGTGAACAGATTGAATTTTTGGATCTCAACATCTATATAGAAGATAATCAAATACAGACTAAGACTTTTAAAAAATCAGTAGATTGCAACAGTTTTATTCCTTTTAATAGCCATCACAAAACCACTTGGCTTAAAAATATCCCGTACAGTCAATTCAGAAGGATCAGAAGAAACTGCTCCAATTTACATACTTGTAGTGAACAGATGGAAGAGATGCAACAAAGATTCACCAACAAAGGCTATCCTTCATCACTACTCACTGAGGCCAAGAATAGAGCATTAGCCATTCCAAGACAGGATACTCTCAAAAACAAACACAAGGATAACTCTACTGAGATGAGTCAATCAGTACCAGCATTTATAACTCAATATAACCATCAATTTCGTACCATAGAAAAAATTCTTAAAAAACATTGGAACATTCTCACAAGCGATTCAACCCTCACAGGCATTCTGGAGAATCAACCACGGATCATTTTTACTAAGGCACCCAACCTACAACTACTTCTGGCTCCAACTTTTAAACAGCAAAATGTCCAACAGGATAAAAACACTATTAAAAGCTTTAAACGATGCAAGAAATGTGTTGCATGTATAAATAATCCCCTCCAAGAATCTAAAACCACTAGATTTACATCTATGGATGGTACGGAAGAATTTGATATTAAGACCAATATGAACTGTGATACAAAAGGGGTAATTTATCTGATTACATGCCCATGTTCTAAGCAGTATATAGGACGAACAAAAAGGGCATTGAAGACAAGGATGGCGGAACACATAAGAAACATCAGAAAGGGACTTCAAACCCATAATCTCTCAAGACATTTCCAAGATTTTCACGGAGGAGATCCTACAGGATTAAAATTTTTACCCATTGAACAAGTAGATGTCCATTGGAGAGGGGGCAATATAGAAAAGTACTTGGACCAAACTGAAGCAAGGTGGATTTTCCACCTAGAGACTTTGGTTCCTAAAGGACTCAATATAGATTTCGAATTGAATGCTTTTTTATAAAGAATATTATTATGTGTCTTTTTAAACAAAAATTTTTCTTTATCCTTTTTTTTATTTTTTTATTATCATTTCTATCTATAACATTGGGACTTCTCCACCATTTGCTGATTATTAAATCATCATATAGTGATTCACTCTATTGCACTTAGTCACTTTATTTTCAACACATTATTTTACAGTATAACTTATACTATTAATGTTTCCACTATATTAATTAAATATGAGCCATGATGCCATTATTTCTTAACTATACATGTTATATATATGTATTATTTACACTCTATATCCTACACCATTATTCTACATATTGTAATTTACAGCTTATATGCTATATTTTATACTTTTCCATATATTTATACTTCTCATTAGCACAAATATTTAAGCATTATTATTTGTATATAACACACAGATTTCTGATGAACAACTTATCTTTTTATACTCATTTTTATTTTTATTTTTATTTTTACTTTTACTTCTATTTCGATTTATTCTTATTCTCAATTTTGATTAGTTTATTAATTCCATGCCACTGTTTTATCATCTAATGTGTATAATCTCTATGAATCTATTAATATATTTTTCACTAGTCTTTATATATATGCCGTTTTTCATGTACATAGATTAATTGTAACAGTAATAATTTACTCATATAGAGTAATTGCCATATTTGGTTTTTTTTTTTTTTATTGAGTCATGTATATAAACTGCACGCCCAGATGGAATTCCATAACGTCTCTGAGGAAGTGGGGCTGACACCCACGAAACGCGTAAGACAAGCCGACAGTGTGAGAGGACACAGGATACGGAGAACAGCCAGCTGTCCGCAGCCAGCACAGCTCCTTTCCCCATCGATCGTGGGACTGACGGACTGCCGGTATCAGACTATCACAGTGAGGTTTGGCACGCACGCCAACCTCGCAGCAGCCGGCAAGTACAGATACTGCAATCCTGCTACATAGTATCCACTGTAATCCTCATCGGTTACAGTGGTTATCAGGACACAAGTTTAATATCTATGCTGACTACTGACTTGTAGATCGTTCCTGGTCCCCATTTCTGTATTTTTTGCACTATTGTACTTTTTAACTCATTAATTTTAATACAAGTTTTCATCCATCTATTTTTTATATTAATAAATACACATTTTTATTTTATATAGCTTTCAGTGGTTTTTTGGAATTTTTTAACTTACTTGCATTCACCTGTTTCTATATATAGGGATAAAGATAATTCTATATCTCTGTGATACAAGTTATATATTGCCTATTTGCACCATTTAGTGTGCTACCTTATGATTTTGAGATATATCCATCATAATATTTTGTGTGTATTCTAAATCTCGTGCAGATCACATTTTTGCTGTTGTGAATCTGTAACTATCAAGTTGCTTTATATTTAAGCAGAGTATCTTGGTGTGTAACAGACACAATCTGCCTTTAGCAGATTTAAAGGTATACACACCATACATATATATTCTTTTCCGTCAATACTGGTTATCCTAGAAACGGATACAACTATTATATTGTCAACCAAGCCATATTATAGTGAACTAGCTCCTGAACTCACTACCTTGAAGGTATCACTGCCAAGTAAATAACACATTGCTATCAATCAAGAGTGTCATCTATACTGTAGCTGATTTGCATCATTTAAACATTAGGATGAACAGAAGAGGTAAACTGGCAACATGGCTCATTATGATGCTGTGAGTAATCATACATTGGTTAGTAAAGGTGGTAAGCTATAGTTAGTGTTAAGTCTGCTTTGTGACCACTGGGTACTGATCGCACAGTGAAAGCTGTTAGAGAACAGTTAGTGTAATGTCTCTGCAAGAGAATTGGTGTACATTATGTGCTGTCCGTTTATCCTATGCCACGTATGAACACATGTCAGTATGCAGTAATGAGGCAATAGATTGAACTTCAACTGTTCTAACTCATAGCATAAAAATCCATGCATTTTAAGTTAAGGCAGGTAACTGGTAGCTTCAACAGAAATATATTACTATCACCCACATCTCTATATAAGTAGCGAGGTTGCAGGCTATTCATGTATGTCTGTTTATATAGATTAATAGAGTCTACTTTCGGTGTGAGTTGTCTAGACATATGTGTGATTAAGTGAACACAGGGTTAACAACGTGCTTAGGGGATGTGAGGTGTGTGTAGATAGTAAGAGATATAAGGTCACACGTTTATAGCTTAACAGATAGAGTGGCCACTGAAGTGCATTTTGTATATTGCGGCAAGGTGCAGCGTCAGGGTTAAATGGTGGTCATCAATATCATGGGGGGTTCAGAATTAGGCAACACAGTCCACTGTCCTTAATCAGTTTCTGGCTCAGCCAATCTCCATATTTGGGGAGCTCTTGGGGTCTGTGAAGAGGTGGGTATTTAAGTGGAAGGGGGAACAGTCCAGCTTAGGGTTATTACATTTCAGCCAAATAAAGTGAATGCAAAAAATATATCTGGGGCAATAACTGAAATGCTGAATATCTTAAGAGTTCACCCTATCTCGTCTTCTGACCCCCTTGGCTAGTGAAAGTCCCAGTGAATTGGCCACCAGGTGAAACCTCAACCTTGTAGCCTGGAGAGGCCGCCCCCGGTACCTCCAGTGTTGTAAAAGGTGATCGATCACTTTTAAATCAAGTTTAGGTAGGAGTTCAAGCTGCCTGTGACCTAGCTTTGCAAACCGTATTTATATTCTTTAATCTGCAATGTATGTCTGGTTATTCTGGGTGAGGAACTGACATGCTAAAAATTATATTTAGTTTTAATGTTTGCAGTGTGCCTTTAACCCTCTAAATGCCAATTGTCTCTTCCCCATAAATAAAATACACAGAGATCACTGACATTTTTCCCCAGCTGCGAGTCCTCTCTTGCCACTGCTTCACTCTGCACCAGGAGGCTGTTAGTGGCGGAAGTCTCCCAAACGAATGCTTCTCATAGGAAAGCATCGCAATAAGAATGCTTTCCTAGGGAACACTTTTCAAATGGAGTAAGTATGAAGCCCTCCAGACTTGCAGCTTGACTGCCATGGGTACTCCTACATTAATTCATAAAAGTGCTGATTTCTCTTTTATGAATTAGAACTAGGGATATAATGCAGTTGAAAGGGTCTGGATTGTCCCTTTAAAAGGACAAATACAAGAAAATTAAAACATTAAATGGTGTTTAAAATTATTGTGTTCTAAGGAAAGATCATGCAGAGTGATTTTCAAAAAGCCTTATCTTGACCTGTTTAACCCATTAAGGACCAAACTTCTGGAATAAAAGGGAATCATGACATGTCACGTGTCCTTAAGGGGTTAATGTGTGCTGGGACCACTGATAAGTGGAATGAAGCAGGAGGCTTTGATACCTGGGTTTGCAGTTTAGTAAGAAAAGGCAATTCAATTCAGGTTCTGTCAGCTTTTTTTTTATTTTTTGAATTTGACAATTTTTATTAATATTTTGTCATAAACCCGACCTTAGTCGGGGGGAGGGAGGGGGATACAGAAGAGAAAAAAGGGGGGGGGGGAACAGCAGCGAAGTATTATAATTGTCATATAGTATATTGCATAGTCATACAGTACAAAACAGTTAGCCGAGACAGGGTGGGTATGGGTGTTCAATATATGCTAGCATTCTCTAAGGTCCGGGGGTCGACTCGACCTATATTCTAAACCCACAGCTCTATGGTTCGCTCCTTTTAGGGTCAGCCCAGGCGACCCGATCTCCATGTGTCCCAGATCTCCCACGCCTTTGCGGATGTATGGGAAGGGGGCCACAATTTGGTGTATGCTCCTTCATATGCTCTTTGCTCTATCAGAGCGGTTAGTACTCTGGCGAAAGGCGGACATTGTTTAGATTTCCATGATCTTGCGATCTCTCTGTGTGCTGAGAGGAGAACGTGGTATATAAGTTTCCTCTCGGCTCTCGGGGTTCCACTCGGGAGAATTAGTGTTATATAGACTTGGGGGGAAAATTGCATATTAATGCCAGTCATATCTTGCAGGAGCGTATGGACTTCCGTCCAGAACGGTTTAAGATCGGGGCACTGCCACCAAATATGGAGGACATCTCCTCTCGCTAATCCACATCTCCAGCAGTTGGGAGAGCTATTTGGGTAGAATTTATGAATCCGAGTAGGAACCATGTACCATCTATAAACGCTCTTGCGTTGTTGTTCCACTAGGGAAGTGGATGTGAGTAGCTGGTTTATGTCCTGGAATAAGCTATTCCATTGAGTGGGGGCGATAGGCTCTCCCAGATCTATATTCCATTGTTGTGCTACATTGGAATCAGGGAATGGCATAGTGTTAGCGATGAGTCGGTAACACATGGAGGTCGGTTTACATGCGAGTGGTAATGACCCATTTATACAGACTTGTTCCCACACCGTGGGTTGTCCCTTATCAGATTGCGATGCCCTATCAGCACTAGTTGACCTGTAGAGGAACGATCTCAGTTGTATGTATGAGAATTGTGAGGTTACAGGAAGTTCATGTGTGTGTCTCAGTGTAGAAAAGTCCTTTAATATCCCGTGTTGGAGAATGTGGTAGAGGTGCGTTAATTTGTTGTCTATCCAAGGGTTGGCATGGAAGGTCGGTATACAATACGGGAGGGCCGCCACTGGTGTAGCTGGTGAAAGTTTAGTTGGGGAACAGAGTGTTGCCCTATTTTTGTCCCATATTTGTAGTTTGAGGGCAAGGAGGTCGGAGGGTCGGGCGGTATACCTTTGGTATCCACAATATGTTGGGTAGTGTGAAGGGCTTCAACAGATTTCTCTCTATCTCCACCCACTGAGGGACCTTTTTATCTATATGATGGGGAAGTAAGGTGGCTAGTATGGATGCATGGTAGTAAGCCTTCACATCTGGTAATCCCAGTCCACCTGACTTTTTTGGAGCATGTAAAAGATTCCTGGCTACCCTCGGCCTAGACCCAGCCCAGATAAAGTTGTCTACCTCCTTTTGTACCAGTTTAAAAAAGGAGTGTGGGACGGGAATCGGGAGCGTTCTAAAAATATATTGCAGTTTAGGGAGTATCAACATCTTTACTGCCACTATTCTTTCAGTCCACGTTAAATAGAGAGGTGACCAGTTTTTTAGTTGTAGGGCACATTCTCTCCACGTTTTAACATGGTTGCCCGTGTAGAGCTCTGTATGTTTTTTAGAGAACAGTAGTCCCAGGTATGTAATGTCATATTTCCTCCAATCAAAGGGGTACGACCCTCTGAGGCCTATCATTTCGCTTTCAGGAACGCCTATGCTAAGTGCTTGGGTTTTAGAGGTATTAAGAGAATAGTAGGATTGTGTTCCATAGTCGTGAATGAGGGACATGACATGGGGCAGAGAATCCCTTGGTTGGGTCATATAGAGGAGGATGTCATCTGCGAAGGCACTTATCTTAACTTCTCTAGATCCGACCAGAATTCCAGAAATATTGGGGTGGGATCTAATTGCGACCAGAAGTGGTTCCAGGGCTAACACATATAATAGTGGGGACAGTGGGCATCCCTGTCTGGTCCCGTTAGATAATTTGAAAGGGTCCGATAGGAACCCGGCTTGCAGAACTCTAGCTTTCGGAGCCGAGTATAGTGCAAAAATTTGCGTGATGGTCTGATGGGGGAAACCGTATTTCACCAGAACTTGCCTCAAGAAGGCCCAGCCAAGGCGGTCAAATGCCTTCTCCGCGTCCAAGGCTAAAAGCAGACCCCCTCGGCCAGGCCTCCGGAGCTGTTCCAGGGTGTGCATCAGTTTATATGTATTGTCCGAGCCCTGTCTCCCTCTGACGAACCCTGTTTGATCATCACAGATCAATTCTGGCAGAAGTCCGCTCAGCCTGTTTGCTATAATTTTAGCGTAGAGTTTGGCATCTGTATTAAGGAGGGAGATAGGGCGAAAGTTTTTACATTCATTTGCCGGTTTGCCGGGTTTTGGAATGGTGATAATTGTGGCCATAAGCATCTCCGGAGGGAGGGAGCCCGTTGTGGAGGCTTGTTGGTAGACCCGCAACAGGTGGGGCGCCAATGTGTCTGCAAATTTCTTATAGTAGGCATTAGTGAAACCGTCAGCTCCCGGAGATTTAGCTAGAGGCAGAGATTTGATAGCCACGCTAACTTCTGCCAAGGTTATGGGTTGTTGGAGCGTTACAGCTTGTTCTAATGTGACTCGCGGCAAGTGTATCTGGCTAAGATATTTGGAGATGCTGTCTTGCGTTGGGTTGTTTAAACCTGTCGTGAGGTGCAGGTTGTATAGTTTGGCATAAAAACTTGCAAAGGTTTGCGATATGTCGCTGGGATTTAATATTTTCTTTCGCCTATCATTTATAAGATGTGCGATCTTTTGTGTGTTGCATTTGTTTCGTAATCTCGCTGCTAACAATTTAGTGGCTTTACCACTGTGGTGGTAAGTGGTAGCTTTTAATTTATGGAGCAGCCTCCTAGTTTTGTCTGCCGTCAAGTCTCTTAGTTTATCATATTGCTGGGCAAGTTGTATCCCTGTGTCTACTGAGGGCTGGGTTTTGTTTAGAGCAGAAAGTTGCGCTATTTTAGTGTGGCATTCCAACATTGCCGAGTCTTGGGTCCTTTTAATGTGCGAGGCTTGTTTAAGAAACAGGCCTCTAAGTACTGCCTTATGTGCGGACCAGACCGTGGCTGCCGTGGTCTCTTGGACATTGGAATTGACGGGGAGAGAGAAATTGACAGGGAGGGGGGAGTGACAGGGGAGGGAGGGGGAATGAGAGTGACAAGGGAGGGGGGAAAGATTGACATCCATCACACACACACACACAATCACACACAATGCACCCCTTACACACAAAGACAATGAACCCCTTGCACACAGAAAAACACACAATGCATTACACACACAATGCATTACATACACACACACGCAATGCAACCCTTACACACAATGCATCCCTTGCACACAGAAACACACAATGCATTCCTTACAAACACTCAATGCACCCCTTACAGACTCACACACTTCATCCCTTACATACACAGAAACACACCTTGCAGCCCTTACACATACAAACACAGATTCACACAATGCATTCCTTACACACAAATCAGGACATCCCCTACACACTCCATCCCCTGTGAACAAACTCATTGGTGGAAAATGAAGGTGGACCCTGGGACCCAGACCTTGAGCTGTGTAAAGGGCCCCCAAAAAATGGAGCTACTTCTCGTTCTCCCAGAACATTGATTTGTGTGACCACAGTTACAAACAGCCTCCAGAGATCCTGTTATACACCAGACCAGTGGAGCCAGACTGCAGCTAGAGCCCATCATCATCCTCATATGCTTGTAAGTAGGTAATCTAGTATATTATTCGTGGCACTAATCTCTAATTTACCTCACATTAAAGGGACACTATAGTCCCCAGAACCACTGCACCTTAATGTAGTGGTCCTGGTGTCTATAGCCTGTCCCTGCAGGCCTTTTAATGTAAACACAGCGGCACTGCAGCACTAGTGTTAGTTAACATGGCAGGTCATATGGGTGGGGCATTGCGATGTCACGGGGGGGAGGAGGGGGGCGGCAAACTTTACTTTTGCCTAGGGCGGCAAAAATCCTTGCACCGGCCCTGCTTATGATACTTGGGGAACAGTTTTGCGTATGGCATCTGGTGCGTGGAGGTGAACAGTGTCAGCATAACAACAGCATCTTTTCCTATGTTGCAGCAATAACCATCTAGCAAATATATCCCAAACCTAACTACCCGATCATTCCTGTTAAGACGTACTGTACTGCTTATACGGGATTCTGCGTCTGGTATTATATTACTGGCTGCTAGGGGAAACCTGGATAGGTCAGGGAAGGAGGGAACTAGGGAGAGAGTAAACTGGGAGTGGGGGAGGGGGAATAAACCCTGATTAAGCTCTACACAAGAGAGCTGGAGCACGCCAAGCTGCAATGTGGGGGGTACATTAAGTGAGCCTGATGTTGTCGTGGCTCATATGTGGCTCTTAGGGCTCTGAATGGCTTAAAGAGATAGTATGTTGAGGCTTTCTCGTGCCGCAGGTATCTTTTTTTTTTTTTTTTGTAAGCACTTGTAATACTCTAAAAAATAAGAACATAACCTTTTTGTAACCTCTGATCATCAACAGTTCATAAGTCCTAGTGACTGCGCCGTGGGCCGCAGTAAGTGTTAGGCATACTTAACACTCTCTCCGCCGGAGAAGGGGCAGGTCTCGCAGAGGGATCCTGGTCAGGCCGGGGTCCACTCAGGGGACATCCGAGGTATCTTTGCCTGGTTATGGTCGTCTGTAGTGGCCACCGGGAGTCCCCACACCTTAAATTTTTCTTTGCCAGCCGGCAGCGAATTTACAGCGTGCAGTGAGTCCTGGTACTGGATGAGCAGTTTTGCGGGGTATCCCCATCGGTATATGATTCCTTTTGCTCGTAGCGTTGTTGTGAGGGGAGATAGGCTTTTTCGAAATTGTAGGGTTGCCGCCGACAGGTCCGTTAAAATTTTCAAGTCCTTGTAGGGATCTGGCATGCCTGGTGTGCGGGATGCTCGAACTAGCCTCTCCTTGGCATGGTAAAAGTGGACACGGACTATCACGTCCCTCGCGGTGGAGTTAGGGAGGTGTTTTGGTCTTCTCAATCTATGCGCTCGGTCGATGATAAGCTGGTCCGGGTGCGTCTCCGGTGACAGTGTTTGGAAGAGGTCCAGCAGGTAGTTGGGAAGTGCAGGGTTGAGCACTGACTCCGGTATACCGCGGATATGCAAGTTATTGCGTCTTGACCTGTCCTCCATGTCGGCCATTTTGACCGCATGGTCGTGCAGGACGGTGTCCAATTCATGCAGCTTGTCCGCAAGACCGTTATGCGCTACAGCGAAATCATCCATCCTCTTCTCTATCTGAGCAGTACGCTGGCCCACCTCTATAATCTCCTTCCTGAGATCTGCGGTGAGGGTTCGTATTTGCGTCGCCATGTTCTTTTGGATGGTGTCAGTAAGTTCCGACAGCATTCTTTTCAATTGCTGGGTTGTAGGCGGGCTGTCCTCCAGTCCTGTGTCTGAGGACATTGGGGATAAAGGTGGATCCTCCTCGGAGCGAGCAGCACCGCCATCTGCATCCGGGCTGCGGCCTTCTCTTGCGTGTGGTGTCGCCGACTTGGCCAGGAAAAAGGAGGCACGATCTGCCTTCGCAGCCTTATTTTTTTGCCTGTGTGACATCTCTGCAGGCTCGGGAGTGGTGGTTTGGTAATTAAAACTTATTTGCTCTTTTTGCAGCCCGATTATTTTAGCCCTAGTTCGCCCGGTAGCAGGAGCTCCGTTAGGATGCGTCCATGCAGCTCGGTGTCAGGCCACGCCCCCCAGGTTCTGTCAGCTTTTTACTGGTGTGGATGTACAGGCTGCAATCTTGCACATGTATGTACGTAGTGGGGAATTGCGATGCGGCATAATACATAAACCAACCCAAATCCTCCCCCTTCCAAAATAAAGACAGACAACGTAGTATGGATGAAACAGGCCACAGCATTTATTATACCATACGACAAACACTGTATGACACATCCATAATTTATTTAACAAATTTCTCTTCATTTCTGTAACCAAACATTAAACATGAATAACCATAAATTAACATATAACTTAACACATAGTGTCATACAGCGAACCCAATCGTCCTTGCCAATAAACTGACCATGCGCCTATGTGCGACTTCCTCTCACCTCCCCCCTCGTCATAAAAATAATTTCCTTCCAATGCCCGCCATCAGCCGACCTTATCCACGCTCGATTGGCACGACACCCCAGGTAACCTAAGGTTAACCCTTTGAAGCAGGGAAGGTTGAGACCTTAAAAACGTGTTCATCTCATTCCATATACTTAAACATAACCCCTCAAACTCAATTGGCAAGGACATACCCCTGGCTAGCTGTGACTAAATATACTAATAAGGCGGGCGGGAGGGAAGCTGTTTGCTGGCCGGAATCCCAAGTGGCACTGAGGTACGACCTCCCCCACACTAATTTACACAGAATATAATCCCACCCACACATACTTTCCCAGAACATAATCCCACCCACACATTCTTTCCCAACCACTCCCCTGCATCTGTCCCCACACTCCTACATGTGCCCTTGTCCGCTTAGCTGTGCTATCTCCCCAGGGCCTAGTCACAAGATTCCATAGTGCAGTCATATCACTGGCAGTAAATATTAGAGCACTTTACAGGACCACATATAACCTATGTGTACACAGCATTCCCTGAATTCTTCTCATAAGGCTGGGTTTTAGTGGTGAAAGTCATGATGTATGTGTAAATCTAAACCGGAGAGAGGAACAAGCTCTATGCAGGATATTTGTGTAAATATAAACCGAAGAGGGGAACGTGCTGTATGCAGGATATATGTGTAAATCTAAACCGGAGAGGGGAATGCTCTGTATGCAGGATATATGTGTAAATCTAAACCGGAGAGGGGAACGCTCTGTATGCAGAGTATATGTGTAAATCTAAACCGGAGAGAGGAACACGCTGTATGCAGGATATATGTGTAAATCTAAACCAGAGAGGGGAACGTGCTGTATGCAAGATATATATGTAAATCTAAACCGGAGAGGGGAACACTCTGTATGCAGGATATATGTGTAAATCTAAACCGGAGAGGGGAACGTGCTCTATGCAGGATATATGTATAAATCTAAACCGGAGAGGGGAAAACGCTCTATGCAGGATATATGTGTAAATATAAACCGGAGAGGGGAACGCGCTGTATGCAGGATATATGTGCAAATTGTAGATTATGCTAGCTTTTGTGTACCTATAATCTTAATTTTATTAATGACAGAAGGCAATTTTTTGCTTAAGTCTCTCTTTACTAGAACTCCTCAGCAGCACAGAAAAACAACCAATCAGAAAAAAGTTAGGTACTATAAACTCCCCTCCCCATGCATCATTTCCTCTTTCAAGCTGCGACAAAAACAGAACAAAAGGCAGAAAACATAATGGGGAAGAAACAAAGTCCTAGATACGATGAATACAACGATGTCCACCATCCGAGAAGAACTGCCAAACCAGATAGTGTTGATGGACTGTAAACTGAAACGAGAGAAAAACAGAATCGAACAGGTTGATTATCCAATGAAATGTACTCTGAATAAACATGTAGGTACCCAATGTAGCAACCAAAAGTACCTAAATATGTAGATATCCCAACCCTACTTATGAAAAAAACAGACATAAGAACAGGCGACAGGTAGCACAGACAACAAGCAGAGTTGCATACGTACCTGATTATTCCAAACTATCAAAATTAAACAAGGGAGGGATAAGAATGGGTGGGAAATACTCGCCTCCTGTCATTAATAAAATTAAGATTATAGGTACACTAAAGCTAGCATAATCTACAATTTTATAACATGACAGGAGGCTTCGTATTTGCTGTTTTAACGCTCAGTCAACAAAACAAACGCTGTTTGTTTTGCTGGTACCTATTCTGGGAGCTATCCAAGCAATCCTAAATGGACATTCCAACTGCGATAAATGACAATAGACCGATCGATGAAGATGCCAGTTGACGATGCATCCCAAATACGAAAAAAAACAAACACCATCTGCTAATAGATCCATTGTACGTGGGGTTGCAACCTGTTTCCTACCAGCCACTCCACAAGCTGCCAAGCTGACCTATTAGCCATTTCCCTGTAGTTATAAAATGTCGAAGGTCATTTGCGGACTTAGGGCCGCGATAAGACACTGTCACCATGTCTCAACTCTTGATGTGTAAGGTTGCTCCACCGATCGTGCCCGGGTCACCCGGCGATGTGGTCTTGCAGGCAGATCTTCAATCTCAAGGAATGCGCCTAAGTCCACCACCAGTTCAGTAATAGGACCGAGTAGGATCTTTCGTTCCCTGATGGCCTACCCAGTGAGATGTCTCATCCGAGAATACATTTATTATGCAGGCAAGAGTGTGGCAAACTAGCTCTATCCTAAGTGATTCCAATATTCCAACTGGACTGTGTAATCCACGGCTGCGGTAGAGAAAGGACATCCAATCAGGGTCCCAAACTGAACTTATGTGGTGGAATGGTGGTCGACTATTCTGGAGATAGTGGGTCCCGGAAATATTCAAAGGGCTGGGAAACGTAAACCGGAGTTCAGATTCCCCTCCAGATGTGATAAGATGTACGGATCCAACGGCGATTGGGAACTGTATAACAATGAAGAGTCCTCACGTGCTGTAGTGAGAGAGTGAAATAGTCCGACTACCTGTCGTACGATTTTGTTCCATGCCCGACCTGTAAAAATTTGTGTAGGGGTTCCTGGTATACACGCCACCTACAAGATAGGGTATAATATAGTGAGACCCTTAGCTCCCTGTACCCCTGACTGTCCAGGCACGTATCTCCCAGAGTAGGCCCTAGGTCAAGGGACCCAGGAATGTGATTTTGATTGAAGTCAAAGTCTCTCTATAGCTTGGAGTCCCATGAACACATAGCATTCTCCAATATGCAGGCAAGGCGTAAAGTCCCTTCGCTCATGACAGGTGACTCCAGAGAGGAGATATAGCGAAAAAGGAAGGGTCTAGCTTCAGCCGTCCGACACATGTGTTGTCCCGTTTGAGAATGTCGGCAGCCCTATCTGAGTCTGCTACACATCCTAAACCGCACTCCAGTGGTAGGTTGTGACCCGACTTTGATGTCTGTGTAGGAGTCGGGGCACACCAGGTTCCTCCATAGAGTCTCGTAGGGCTCCTTGATGGTAGTTGAAAAGGTGGGTTAGCGCGAACCCAAACCAAAACGGCTCCCATGAGGGATATATAGAGTATAGACGGAGGGCCCTCCATCTCCGAACTATGTTCTCCAGGTATGTGCTCAGAGGAGTAGGGGCAGTCCTGCCATCTTATCCCAAGATTGTAATGACCAGGGAACACAAGTCAACCGGGGTTTCCGGTCTTACCATGCGATCCATGCGTATGGTGTACTTTCAGACCGGGTAGTAGGCCTTCCCTAGTCTTGTTACCCGAGCAAGGCAGTGCCCGTTTGCTCCATGAAGGTCTCCGTATCTCATGTCATCTTGATATGGGAAAAACTGTCTGCACAGTTTGTTCGCAATGGTCCGAATATCCAAAATAGAATGCAATTCTCTGTTTTATATAGCGCAGAAAATACCAAAACCTGCACTCTTGTAATACCTGAGGCTCATCCATTAGCCGTACCGTCTCCAGGAGTGTGTGTAAATAAGTGGGAGTCTCCCCCCGTTATACCTCTGTGAGTATTTCTCGCGTGTGGTACAGTGGTCCGGATCCAGTAGATCCATTACAGGAGATAAAATAGAGGGATCCAGTCTAAATACGTATATCAGGCAGCCCTCTATAACGAAATCAGTAGCATGGTCGTTAGATCTAATTGAATGCAGGAGGGACGCCCCTCTATGCAGTCATCAAGGTCTTGTACAGGTACAAGCCTGTGTGATGAACAAATGGACGGCACCATAGAGCGTTGAGTGTATGAGAGAGCCGCGCTCTCTAATAATGTGACTGAATTCCGTGTCAGCGTCCAGCTGATAGCCTGAGCGGGCTGCACCCATTAATAACCAAACAGTAGAGTCTACATCCGTGACCGGTTCTCTCTATGAAAACGTGTCACTCCAAACATGTCTTCTGTATCCAGCTCAGTATCGGACTGAGGTTGAGGGAGGGCTGTGCCCTCTAATAACAAATCAGTGTCCGGTTCTGTATATGAGAGAATAACTCTTGGATCGAGGTGATGGAGGGCCGCACCCTCTTGTGATCCAAACTAGAGTCCCTAAGAGACTCAGGGTGACCAACTGCAGGGGTACACCAATTACTAATATCAGCATAAGACTGAGGTCCTTAGGTGGGTCTCTCATCGACCACGAGACCTCTCTCTGAATCGCTCACCTGAAAAGGAATCAACTGGTAGTAAACCAGACCGATGGCAGATGGGATAGTATACAACCTCGGGCCGTGTCCATTCTAAATAACAGAAAGGGATGGTGCGAAAATGCAACCTTCGGAAACAATGATGGAAACTACCAACTGACCGCGCGGGGTCCAGTATGACCATCGGTAGCCTGAGGAAAGCTGGAGACGTTCTCCGCAATCCACGAGCGCCCGGGAGGTCGGAGGAGGTCAAGTCAGACCTCTCGACAACCTGAGTGATAGGAAAAGGAAGGCACGAAAACAAAAACAATAATAAATGTAGATAAGGGTAAATACGTAAATTCTAACTCGGATAGAAGGCAAATAGCAGGCCGCAAGGCAAGTCAAGTAAGCCCCACTGAACAGGGCCAGGAGCTAACCTTACGCAGGAATATCTACCGATATCTAGATGGATACCGGGAGGCAGTTAGAGGGTTAGTTGTTAAAGACAAGGGAACACCGTGTCCCCCTGTAGGCGTGTGAGTACCGGTCCCTGCCTGTGCGAAGTTCTCTTTGGAGATGTGCCGTTGCC